GTTTGTGTGTGTGTCGTGTGTTTGTGTGTCCATTTCCGGGCCGACCTTACTGTCCCACTGGATAGAAATCCGCAGCTCTCTGGGGCGCCCGCGGGCTCAGTGGGTTGAGCTTCCGACTTGGGCTGAGGTCATGATCTTGCAGTTGGTGGGACCCAGCCGGGTGTTGGGCTCTGTGCTGACAGCGAGGCACCTGCTTGGGGTTCTCTCCCCCCTTCTCTGCCCCTCCCACCCTCTCTCTCTCAAAATAAATAAACTAAAAGAAAAATCAGCAGCTTTCTGATTCTCACGTGTTAGTAACTGGCTTTCACTTGACCATCACCTCTTGCTGCGCATCACGTTGGCCAGGGGCCTCTGGCAGGACACTGGCACCCCCGCCGCCCTCACCTCCTGTTCCACGTGCTGCGGGGCGAGCGGCCCCAGCGTCACTACTGCTTTAGAGTTAACGAAACAGCACATGCATGTTTCCAACGTGCCCCGCGTTGTAGCCCGATTTCCGAGGCCACACCACGCATGCACTTAGGCCGTCGAAGCAAGGACGAGACGGTGCTCGGGTAAAGGGTGGGTGGTCACCTGGCCCGGGGGGCGGCCGAGGCTGCAAGCGAAAGCAGTGGAGCAGTTTATGTCCGGTTGTCCTGGGGCTGCTGGGAACCCTGTGGGCACTGACCTGTGTCCCCCGGGATCCCTGTGGGTGCTGACTTGTGTCCTCCAGGGATGCCTGTGGGTGCTGACCTGTGTCCCCCCGTCTGCTCCCCGGAATCCCTGAGGTGCTGGTCTGTGTCCCCTGGGATCCCTGCTGGCGCTGGCCTGTGTCCTCCAGGGATCCCTGTGGGCACTGACTTGTGTCCCCTGGACCTGCCCCCCGGGACCTCTGTGGCGCTGACCTGTGTCCTCCAGGGATCCCTGTGGGTGCTGACCTGTGTCCCCCCTGCCTGCCCCCCCGGGATCCCTGCGGTGCTGACCTATGTCCCCTGGGCCTGCCCCCTGGGACCCCTACGATGCTGACTTATGTCCCCCAGGACCCCTGTGGGTGCTGGCCTGTGTCCCTGGGACCCCTGCGTTGCTGATTTGTGTCCCCTGGGCCTGCCCCCCCGGGACCCCTGCGGTGCTGACTTGTGTCCTCTGGGTGGGCCGCCTGGGGGAGTACAGTCCACTGATCAGGCGCGGCAGCTACGGGACGAGGCGCCCCGGAAGTGGGAGAAGGCCATCTCTGAAAGTGAGGCTGGTGCGATAAGACAGGTGCAGGGACTGGCCAGCTGCCCGAGTGCCCACAGGCCCCGGGAGACAGTGTAGACATGCGATGGCGAGACCAGGATCGGGGGTCTGGGAAGCTGTTTGTCCTGGGTTTGGCTCGGCCCCTCCGTCTGTTTAAGCAGCCCTGACGCAGGGCTTGGCGGGAGCAGGTGCACGTCTGGGGGGTCCTGTCTCAGTTTCGCCCACTTGCACGGCCACCCCCTGGTGGGACCGTGTGTGCACGCTGGAGATTGGAACGGAGGCCCAGCTACTTGCCCGGGTCACACTGTGGGGCTGCGAACGCGGATGGTCTGTGCTTGGAGCTGGGTCTCCCATGTGGTTCGCCCACAGACTGCTGGTACCGGGGGTGCCTGCTCCTGCGCGTGGGGGCCCCTTGCTCTGCTCTCTGTTCTCGGTTTCTCCCTCTGTAAAATGGGGTGAGGGGAAGGCCCCCTCGTGCGGTTGCTGGGAAGACCTCGTGGCTGTGTCCACTGCCCGCGCGCTGACCCCGCTTTCTCGCGGTCACTGCCCCTCCCCCTCTCCCCTGCCCCCAGGCCCTGGCCGCCACCATCCCACACTGGGAGCCCACCAGCCGGTATTTGTCCCGTGACTGGCTCGTGGCCCTTCTGTGCTCCGGCAGCCGTATCTGCAGTCGCCCAGGAAGGGAAGCACCGAACATCCTTTGACACGTGAATGCATAAAGAACGTGGGTCATGTGCGGACAGTGGAAGATAATTCAGTCTTAAAAAATAAAGGTTCTGCATTATGTGAGTGCGTGGGTGGGTGAGCGTGAGTGATTTGCTTCACGGACAAACCAGGATTCCTGGACAATGACAAATGTTCCCAGCCCCCAGCCCCTGCGGACCCCCACCGCCGGGCAGCCCGGGTCGCTTCCTGGGGGTGCGGGGGGCTGGCTGGGCCCCCTCCCTGGACTCCGGGGGGCACTCTGAGCCTGGCAGCCTGCCTCCTGCACCCGGCCTGTGGTTTGGCCCTCGCTGCCCCGCACCCGCTGGCTGGCACAGGTCTGCCGCTTCCCCGCGTCCCCCGAATCGGGCCACGGGCTGTTTCATTCCTCAGCGTGGCCCACGTGGAGGAAACTCCCAGACTTACCAGAGCCTGGGCTGTGGGGCTGGGGACCCAGGCTGGGGGAAGTGAGTGGGTGAGAGAGAGAGAGGGCTGGCCTGGCCGCCCCAGGAGGGGAGCTTGCGCACCGCTGGGCTACACCGCCCGCGTGGACCAGGAGCTGGTGTTTGATGTGAGTTAGCGGGAGCCTCACTTCGCAGCCCAGCTGCGTTCACGGACCCCCAGAAAACGTCCTGGCGTCTGGAGTTCACACACCCTGGGAGGCTGGCAGAGTCAGGTGTCCGAGGCCGAGGCTTAGCGATTCAGCACTTGATCTTCGCGGCTGTCCCGATGCCAGGGTCCCGCTGGCTCCGGCCAGGATTGAATTCAGCACGTCTGCTCCCTGTGCGACCGGCCGTGTCCGTGTGGGCGCCGCACTCCCGTGACAGCAGCCAGCACTCTGCGGATTGTAGCCAAGCCAGAATTCAGGGGTTTCGGAAACCACTCACTCATAACCTCTAGTTGTGGGGCCGCCGCGCTCGGCTCCTGGGCGAGCGGCTGTGCGATGGCAGCGGCAGCTCTGGTCTCCTCTCCTTTCGGGCTCTAACCTCTGGGAGTCTTCACTTCTCACTTCCCTAGTTACTGAGTCTCTTCTTGGTGTGTCCGTCTTATTTACTCTTGTAGTTTTTTTAAAGGCAAATCAGACCTTTTTGTTTGGAAAGGAAAAGTTATTTTCGGCATGGGCTTGAACACAGCTGTCTTTCCGTCCCCAGTGAAGTGTGTGGCAGCCGGTCCCGGCAGGCAGTCCCCCGGGATTCCCGGATGGCCCTTCGCTGTCCCTCGTCGGCCCGGTGGGCGCTGGCCTCCTCTCTCCTGTTGGAAGAGGAAGAGCTCGCGATGCCACAATCGTTCTAGCAAGATTCGAGTCTGAAAGGAAAGTCCTAGTCGGTGGTGACGAACTTCTTTCTTTTCTTCATTTATAAATTTTTTAAATGTTTGTTTGTTTTTGAGAGAGAGAGAGAGACAGAGCATGAGCAGGGGAGGGGCAGAGAGAGAGGGAGACACAGAATCCGAAGCAGGTTCCAGGCTCTGAGCCATCAGCACAGAGCCCTATGCGGGGCTCGAACTCACGAACCGTGAGGTCATGACCTGAACCAAAGTCTGATGCTCAACCGACTGAGTCCCCCAGGTACCTCTCTTTCTTTTCTTAACTAATGCCTGCTGTGGCCAGTTTTAAAATTGGTTTTTAAAGCCTCCTTGTTCATCATCTCTGGGGGGAGGGTTCCTGAAGGGGACAGGGGGGCACAGCTGAGTTTCTGCCTGCTGGCACATAGCGCCATTTCACGGGACTTGTGATGGACGTTGTGTGTCAGGGCTGCCCTGTGCTGGTGCTCACGGCCAGAAACGCGGTTCGGGGCCCAGATTCCGGGGTGCAGGCCGCTGGCCAGCAGGGGGGCCGGGGACACTTGCTGGCACGTCACCGTGACCTTTCGCCTCTCTGCGGGGCAGGACGCATCCCTCCCGCCCTGCCAGACCTGGCCCGGGCGGCACCGTCTCCCCCTCTTCCCCCCGCCCCGGTCATTTGGGCGGCGCCCTGGCTTTGGGTCCGGCTCTGTGCGCGGGGGCCGTCAGCTGTCAGTGCAGGTTCACGCCGTCCTCCTCAGCAGGCCGCCCTCCAGCCGGGCCCCAGAGCGGGGGCGCCATCTCGCCTGCGTCGAGGCCTTTCCAGAGTGGCTGGGGTGGAAATTGTTCGGGTGTCTTGGGTCACGTAGCTGAATGTAAGCAGTGGTTTAGTGGCAAAGGACATGTTTTATGTAAATACATGTGTGTAGGTAACAACATGTCTTCACCCCACACTTCTGAGAACCCCCCCCCACAGGCCAAAAGTTCTTCCTTTTTTTGTCAGGGGTCCCTTTCTACCAAGCAGTATGAGCCCGTGACCCTTTCTCTGAATACTGGATTTATTTTTTATTTTATTTTATTTTATTTCATTTTATTTTAAACTTTCTTTTTACATTTATTTATTATTGAGAGACAGAGAGAGACAGAGAACGAATGGGGGAGGGGCAGAGAGAGAGGGAGACGGAATCTGAAGCAGATCCAGGCTCTGAGCTGTCAGCACAGAGCCCGACGTGGGGCTTGAACCCATGAACTGTGAGATCATGACCTGAGCCACAGTCGGACGCTTGACCGACTGAGCCCCCCAGGCATCCCTGAGTACTGGGTTTAAATGCATGTGGGGGGCACCTGGGGGGCTCAGTGGCTTAAGCATCTAATTCTTGATTTCGGTTCAGGTCATGATCTGACAGTTTATGAGTTCAGGCCCCACCACTGGGCTCTGCACTGACAGTGCCTGCTTGGGATTCTCAATCTCTCTCCCTGTCTCCCTGCCCCTCCCCTGCTCACCTGTGTCTGTTTCAAAATAAACAAATACAAAAAAAAAAGCAGGCAGTAAAATTCAGAGGTTCGCCTGGAAACCAGGCTTCCTGTACAGCAGGTCCCGCCGCTGCTGTGAAGCCTCCCGGAGCGGAGGGTGCTGCCCTCGGGTCCCGGAGGGCCTGGGACCCTCCCTCCTTTGTGCACGCCCGCGTCTCCATCAGGCCCAGCCCCAGCCTCGCCTGCGTCCGGGGTCGGGCTCCCTGGTCCCTCTGGGGGTGCGGACGCGGACGAGGCATAACCTGCATCTCTCTTCCCCTCTTCCCGGCCAGGGCGGGAGCAGTTCCACGGCCTGGGCTCCATGTACTGCCGCGGAGCCACCGCCGTCATCCTCACCTACGACGTCAGCCACCCGCAGAGTCTGCTGCAGCTGGAGGACCGGTTCCTGGGCCTGACGGACACGGCCAGCTCCGACTGCCTCTTTGCCATCGTGGGGAACAAGGTGGACCTCGTCGAGGAGCCGGCCGCAGAGCGCCCGGGGCAGGACGGCCAGGGCCCCGGGGCGGCCGGGGGTGGCGGCGGAGCGCCCAGGGCGCCCCAGCAGGTGCGGCCGGAGGACGCGGTGGCCTTGTACAAGAAGATCCTCAAGTACAGGATGCTGGACGAGAAGGACGCGCCGGCGGCCGAGCGGATGTGCTTCGAGACCAGCGCCAAAACCGGGCACCACGTGGACCTGCTGTTCGAAACGCTGTTCGACATGGTGGTGCCCGTGATCTCGCGGCAGAGAGCCCAGGAGCCGCCGCAGACCGTGGACATCACCAGTTATGACACGCCCGGACGGACCAGGTCCGGGTGCTGTGCCTGACGCACCGAGGCCCCGAGCCCCAGTGTGCACGATCGGCCAGGGAGTGACCAGCGCAGGTGGGGGGCGGGGGGCCGTTGTGGGAAGTCCAGGGGTTTCGTCGTGCGGAGGAGGAGGAGGACCCGGTGGTTTCGAGGCCCCTGGGGACGGTCACTGTGCCGGGAGTGGGGACAAGTGAATCCCCTGCTGAAAGCACGCTTTGGAGCCAGGACGCCCAGAGACCGCCGTCCAGGGCTGCCCCTTGCCTAAAAACCCGGCCTCACCGGAGGCCGTGGCCGGGCTCTCGAGGCACCCGGTGTGGCCCCTGCACCACTTTTGTGTTATTCTCAGACTTTGGTGTCTCCTGGGTCCTACTGTTTGGCACTGGTGTCCTGCGGCATCACGGCGATTCTGGACTCGAGGACGGCTACGAAGTCGGGAATTCCTGCCTCGATACGGGTGCCACCGTACGAGCTACACGTATTATTAAAACGGGTGATCAGAAGACCCTTGGTGTGGAGTCTGTCAACTTAGAGTTTATTTTCACTGCTGGTGGGCCCCTTGCTGGGGCGCCTGGGAGGTGGCTGTGAGCTTAAGGTATTTGTCATTCGAGGCTCCTGGTGGCTCAGCCGGTTAAGTGTCTGACTCGCCTTTGGCTCAGGTCATGACCTTGCAGTTCATGAGTTCGAGCCCCACGTCGGGCTCTGTGCTGACAGCTCGGAGCCTGGAGCCTGTTTCAGATTCTGTCTCCCTCTCTCTCTGCCCCTCCCCTGTTTGCTCTTTCTCTCAAAACAAAAACAAAAACAAAAAAACTTCTGTTTTTAAAAGCTACATCGAATGCTTAGAAATTCCAGAACGTTTTGATTGGTCCATTGCCTGCTCATGATGACAGGAGCTCGAGGGACAGAAAACTGGAGTCTGTTTGGGGTCACAAGGGTCACAAGGGTCCTGAATCAGAAGCCCCCTTCCCAGTGGTGGGTAGGCGGGCTGCGCTGTCACGAGAAGATTCTCAGATAAGGAAGCTGTGAGGCAGCGGTTTTGTTTCTGAGAAACTTAACTTTAAGGGGTATCTCAGGGGCCGCCCGGGTGGCGTTGAGCGTCTGACTTCGGCTCAGGTCATGATCTCACGGATCGTGGGTTTGAGCCCCGTGTCAGGCTCTGTGCTGGTGGCCACAGAGCCTGCTTGCGATTCTCTCTCTTTTTCTCTCTCAAAAAAAAAAAAACCAACTTAAAAAAATGGGGGTGTCTCCACCCCCTGGGGCCGCTGTAGCAAAATGCGGGGCTGGCGGCTCACGAGCAGACACCTCCCTCTCACAGCTCTGGGGCTGGAAGCCAGAGGTCTCGAGTGCAGATCTGATTTCCGGTTGGGCCCCTCCTGCCTTGCGGATGCCACCGCCTCACTGTGTCCTCGCATGGTGGAGGGGGCGCGCTCTGGTCTCTCTTCTCGTGAGGGCACTGATCCTGTCGAGAGGACCCCCCGCCATGACCTCCAAAGGCTGTCACGTGGGGTGGGTGCTGTGGGGTGGGGGGCGTCCGGGCTCCAGCATACACGTCTTGGGGGAAACAAGCATTCGGTCCCTAGCGGAACACGCGGTGAGGCAGAGCCCGGCAAGAAAGCAGCGTGTTTTGTGAGTCGTTGCTTTGGCGGGGAGGGGTGTGTGGTCATTGTGCTGAGTGCCCACGGCCGCGTTGGGGGCCCGCAGCCCGGCGTCCTCTGCTCCCGTGTGACGTCGTGCGTGAGCTGACCCGCGGGCCGGCCTGGGCTCCCCCGGGGGACACCGTTACTGAAGTCCGTCATGAGGCCCGAGGGCCGCCCCTCGGCGGGGCCCATAGGACGCGGGTCAGCGCATCATTATTGCAGTCTGGTTGGATCGTGTCTTTGCTAGTGACCCGCCTGTGGAAACTGCCACCATCCGGGGGGCCCCGGAATTTGTCTCTGAAGCCCGTGGGCGAGGGGCCCCACGAAACCATCTCTGGTTCATGCTGGAAGGGGGGCTGGCCGAGTCCCCGGGGCCCTGTCCCCCTGGATGTTCCTCACTTCTGCTCCTCCTCTCTCAGCACCCCCAGCTCGGGGCCCGAACGGCCTCACGTTCTGGGGGAGGGCCTGGGACGACATGTCCTCCATGGGCCACACAGTTTCACCCTTGATGGTTGCCCTAAAAATAGAGTTCACGCTGGGCTCTGTCCCCAGTGGGTTTGGGACGCCGGCCTGGTTCTGGGGTCCGAACCTGCTCATAGGGTTTCAGTCTGACCACGTGGGCCTGGTTAGCACCCCGGGAGCCAGGCGGGCCCTGGGGAGGCTCCCGGTCGCTCAGCGGGTGGGTGTGGGAGCCCGCTCGTGGAGAGAAAGGGGGTTTCGCCGCTGGGAGTGGGTTTGAGCTGGGAAGCTCGAATGTTCCTTCTTTTCTTTTGCACAGATTTGGCCTCTGGGGGGCAGGGAGGCCACAGACAGCCCTGTGACCGCCCCGCTGTGCCTGGGCCCCGTGGCCTCCCCGCTGTGGCCGGTCTCCGAGCCGCAGCTGCAGGCTCTCACACGGCTCCCTGTGTCCTCTCACAGGCGAAAACCTTTTTCTCGATCACATTTCCTGGGTGGATGTTTCTGGCGCCCAAGGGGCCGAGCGAGGCAGCCGGAAGGTTGGGGACGTTGCAGTCTGGGTGTCGTGAGCCCCGCTTCCCCCTTTGCTCAGGCTGCCAGGCCTGGTTCTTTCTTTTTTTTCCCCTTTTTTTTTAATAGCTTATTTATTTTTGAGACAGAGTATGAATGGGGAGGGGCAGAGAGAGAGGGAGACACAGAATCCGAAACAGGCTCCAGGCTCTGAGCTGTCAGCACGGAGCCTGATGTGGGGCTCGAACCCACGAACCGTGAGATCTGACCTGAGCCGAAGTCAGTCTCCGCCACCCAGGCGCCCCCAGGCTGGGTTCTTAAAGGCATGGCGGTCATTTCCGAACCTGGTGTACTCAGAGCCACCTGCGGTGCTGGGAAGACCTGCATACCCTTGCCCGCAGCACTCAGCCTCCTTGCACGCCTGCCCGTGGTTTCCTTGGTTACAGAGCTGCTGTGTCCCGCCCCCTAGGTGGGTTCCAGCGTCCCCTCTGCCCGAGACGAGGTGCGCCCGCTGTGCCCCCCTGCTTGTTTCCCCTGGGAAAAGCCACGGAGGCCTGGCCGCAGTCCTGGGGGCTGACGGGTCCGGGCGAGGCGAGCGGGGCGGCCTGGCCCCGGGCGGTGGGGGGCGCCCCCCAGGTCACCTTGGAGTCTCCAGGGGCACTTACCCCCTCCTCCCTCGCCTTGCCCTCTGTTGGCCTCGCTCTCATGTTCATGACTCACATGTTAGTGTGTGGGGGTGGGTGGGGTTCCTGTCCCCGGGGCAGGGAGGGAGGGGCAGGAAGACCCCCAAACAGATTCCTCATAATCTGGACACTAGCATCTCAATTCTGGGAACTCTGCAGGGAACACTGTTTTTTCTTTTTCTCTCTTTTTAAAAATTTTTTAATGTTTACTTTTGAGAGAGAGAGAAACAGAGCACGAGTGGGGGAGGGGCAGAGAGAGAGGGAGACACAGAATCTGAAGCAGCTCCAGGCTCTGAGCTGTCAGCTCAGAGCCCAACTTGGAGCTTGAACTCACAAACCGTGAGATCGTGTGACCTGAACTGAAGTCAGACACTTAACTGACTGAGCCCCCCAGGCGCCCCAACACTTATCTTTTTCTAAGCATAGAAGTAGGGATAAGTCAGCTCCAGGAAGAGCATACGTTCCCGCCCCCTCCACTCTCACCAGAGAGGCCGGGTCCTGACCCCTGTGACCAAATGGCCTCTGTGGAAACGGCCAAGGTTTCAGGGCCGGCTTACATCACCACACGACCCACACCGTCAGAGCCGGCCTCCATCCAGCTGGCTGTGCTCTTGAACTTGAGCCAGGGGCGACAAGGCTCCCGTGAGTCACTGTGTGTTACGCAAGCCCCTGCCCAGGGTCAGCCTGCAGGCAGGTGGGCACAGGGGCCCCGGGGGGTGGCCCCACGAGGGAGGATGCCGGTGCCCAGTGCCCGTCCTTCATGCCATCACCCCTAAGCCAAGTCCAGCAGGGATCTTGGGGACTGTGACGCTCTTCGCGGCTGCCCCTTGATTGTGTGGACAGGAGTCTGGAGTAACGGCTGCCTCTCTGAGTTCCATAAGGGGTGCTGTGCTGGGGGCTTTCAAGCCCTGGCCTCCCAGCCTCACCTCCCGTGTGTGTGTGTGTGTGTGTGGGGGGGGGGGGGTTGCTCGGACTGTTGCCATGGAAACCACCTGCGAGCAGGTGTAGCACACGCACTGCGTCAGCTCCGCGGCTTCTGTGCCATGTCTGGGCCGATGCTCAGCCGGACACACGGGGAGCCAGGCACCCAGGCACCTGTCGGTGGGGCAGCCCGGGATCCCCTGGCCGAGAGCTGGCTTCCCTGCTCCCCGCCTGGGCTGCACGGCCCGAGGCTCCCGCGCGGCCTTCCCGTGGGTTCCTGCCGCACAGAGAGCCCTTAGGTGCCCGTGGCGGGAGGCCCTCAGGACCTGGCTGCCCCCCCCACCGCGCCCTGATTGGGACTCATGTCCCCACAGAACCCTCCCGGGCGGAGCCCTGGCCCAGTCAGCTTCCGGGGGACAGTGCACGTCATGGTGGTCGCTCCTGTACTTCGAATGACACTGTCACGTGGAATACTCCTTTAGTTACGGGGAAACTGTTCTCAGGAAAGTTTAACATGGGGGCGCTGGCTGGCTCAGCGGGAAGAGCTTGTGCCTCTTGATCTCAGAGGCAGGAGTCTGAGCCCCACATTGGGGGTAGAGGTTCCTTAAAATAAAATGTTTTTTAAAAGTTTAGTGTGAGATTGTGTTTCTTATAGTATTTTTAAAGTTTATTTTTGAGAGAGACAGAGACAGCGTGAGCAGGGAGGGGCAGAGAGAGAGGGACACAGAGAATGCCAAGCAGGCGCTGCACTGTCACGCAGAGCCTCACTGGGACTTCAGCTCACAGAACCGTGAGATCCTGACCTGCGCTGAGGCCAAGTGTGACCCTTAGCTGACCGAGCCACCCAGGTGCTCCAATATGAGACTGCATTTTAATTTTTTTAAATTTATTTTTGAGGGAGAGAGACAGAGTGTGAGCAGTGGAGGAGCAGAGAGAGAGAGGGAGACACAGAATCCGAAGCAGCTCCAGGCTCGGAGCTGTCAGCACAGAGCCCGACGTCGGGCTCGAACTCATGAACCGTGAGATCACCACCTGAGCCGAAGTCGGTCGCTTAGCCGACTGAGCCCCCGGGAGCACCGAGATTGCATTTTTAAGGCTGGAACTAAGTTCTGAGCTGGGCTCCCAGCGGTCAGGTCAGAGAAGCTGAAGCCAGAATGCGCCTGGGGTTTCCTGGAAACTCGGAGCTGATCTGGGGACTGACTGGGCAGGTGTGTCTGAAGGGCCCCGCGAGTGTGGCCGGCGTGGCTCCTGCAAACCCTGACACGCTACAAACACAGGCGCTGCCTGCCCGGACGCACCGCAGCCCGGGCTCACGAGTGCGGGCACGGGGCAGGGGCGTGGCGGGTGCCAGGCTCACCCGACTCGGGCCTGCGGTTCCGCGGCTGTGCTCTCGGACGTGCGACAACGAAGGCCGTCGACACCCCGGGGTATAAAAAGCTCAAAACCAACTTTTATTGTGTGTTTATTACAGAGGTTAGGTAAGTCATCGGAGGGCGAAGCACCACAGTGGAGGGTAAGCCCCCGGGGCCGCGGACACACGCCTGCGGCCCCTACAGTGCGCGGCCACGTGGCGCGGCGGCCACACGTGGCTGAGACGCCTCCCGAGCGTCTGCGAGGACGCGGGGGGCTCCCAGCTCTGGCAAGGCGCGCGCGGCCTTCCCGAGGGGTGAGGGGGCGCATCCCGGTCTCTGCCAGCGCGGCGGCCCGGGGCCCGCGGGTGGGAGCCGCGCGCGTGAGCCCGGGGGCCCCGGGGCGCACGGCTTCGCGGGTCCACAGCGCCCCGTTGGGCGAGTTGCGGGGTCTGCGGGCGCATACGGGCACGCCTGGAGCCGGCGCGGGGGCGGCCTTCCCACGGGATTCGGTAACGAGGCGGGTCGGGGGCGGCGTGTGAGGTAACGAGTTACGGGCGAGCACCGGGCCCGGGGCGCTCACAAGTTCTTCATGCACACCTGGCAGCGGCTGATGTGCGTGCGGATGAGCCCCGCCTTGAGCGTGTCGGCGGCCGGCGCGCCCTGGAAGCTGCGCTCGGGGATGGTGGTGAGCCAGAAGCTGTACTTGTTGGCGTAGTAGTGGCAGGTGCCGCGGCCGCCGTTGCACTCGATGAAGGGCGTCGCGCGGAAGTCCTCCAGACAGCTGCCCGGCGACACCAGCGACTGGCCGCCGCCCTCGTCGCCGGCCGCCGTGTGCTGCGCGGGGGGAGGCGGGCGGGGCCGTGAGCGCGCACGCCCGGGGGGGGGGGTCTCTTTGATGCACCCCCCCCGGCCCCCCACCGAACACCCGCCCAGACTTCATCTGTCCTTTCAATACGGACCACCTGCAACACGCGATTTAAGGCTCCCGGCGTGGCTGAAAAATCCAGGGCGGCCTGGCCACCAGGCACAGGGCAGGGGCGGGGTGGGGCGGGGCAGGAGCAGAGGGCGGGGCGGGGGCGGGGCCGAGTCTGGGGCAGGACAGGGGCGGGGCAGGGGCGGGGCAGGAGCAGAGGGCGGGGCGGGGGCGGGGCCGAGTCTGGGGCAGGACAGGGGCGGGGCAGGAGCAGAGGGCGGGCGGGGCGGGGGCGGGGCAGAGGCCGGGGCGGGGCGGGGGCGGGGCCGAGTCTGGGGCAGGACAGGGGCGGGGCGGGGGCGGGGCAGGAGCAGAGGTCGGGGCAGGGGCCGGTTCTGGAGGAAGAGCCCTGCGGGAGGCCTCGGAGCTAGAACCAGCCCGGCTGGGCAAGGGCTCTGGCTTTAGTCCACACACACATGCGCGCACACACACACCTTCACATATGTACACAGGTGCTCATGTGCACACACGTGCACACAGGTGTCCATGCAGACGCCTGCACACATGTACACAGGTGCCCACCTGTACACACCTGCACATGTGTACACAGGCGCCCATGTACACACACATGCACATACCTGCACACATGCACACAGGTGCCCATGCACACACCTGCACACACCTGCACACAGGCGCCCATGTGCACATACCTGCACACACATCCACACAGGTGCCCATGCACACACATGCACATGCCTACATATGTGTACACAGGCATCCATGTGTACACACTGGCATCCACCTGCACACTTGTACACAGGCACCCATGTGCACACAACACACACACATGGACATGTGCACACACACGTACACACACCTGCATATGTGTACACAGGTGCCCAAGCACATACACATACATATGCGCATACCTGCACATGTATACAGTTGCACATGTGCACACATGCATATACACTTACATGTGCACACATGTACCCAGATGCAGACATGCACACACACCCATGCACATGTATACATAGATGCCCATACCCCCCACCCCTGCATGCACACACCGACACAGGTGCACACACATGTGCACACAGATACACAAACAATGTGTGCACATACCTGTCCATGTATATACATTGCATGTGTGCTCACACAGAGATGCATGCATGTGCACATACAGGTGCACAAATGTCTGTGCACACACCTGTGCACGTATGCACGCTGCACACATGCACCCACCCCCGCCTTTCCCAGAGTACTCTCAGCAGACAAGCCTCTGGCTCTGGGCCAGGGAGCAGCGGCTGTCTCCCAGGAGAACCGCCCGGTAGCGGCAGGCCCTGAGAGGTGACCGTGACACTGTCACAGCCTGCGTGCACTTCCTAGTCTGAACCAAAAAGGAGAAACTGGACCAAAGGCCTCTGTTTAGAGCTGCCACCAGCGTGGCCTCGGGAGGTCACGGGGGGCAAGGGACTGATGCTTTGCTGCCGTGACAGTGACGGACGAAAGGGCACCTCATGCGCGACAAGACGCTCCGGTCCTGCGGTGCAGGCTGGTCCACACCGGCAGGCGCTGCCGTGGCCTGTCGGCCCTGAGCCCTGGCCCCATGGCACCTCACCCCCGGGGGGTGTCCGGTGCCGGCTGGCCGGAGAAGGCCACGCGGCTTATTGCTGACTCGGACCGGAGGTGTGCTGCTAAGGGAAGAGGGACTGTCCCTGTCAGGTCACTCCCTGGGCGAGGGAGAAGCTCAGGGCCTAGTTTGGAGTTTCTAGTGGAAGTTTGAAGACATGAGGGACCACAGAGGCGCCCTGATGGCACGTGTAACCAAGCGGGGTTGTTCTGTCCGCAAAAGTCACCTTATGTGACTGTGATCGGCTTCTTGAAAAGTAGGAAGGTGCCTGTCTTTGCACAGAACGTAGTGTCTGTGCTTCAAATTATTGCAGCGATCATACCTCTAAAAATAAAGATATTGACACCTAGCTTCTCTGATCACTTACGTATTGTGTTATTTATATGATTTGAGTCCCGGCAGCTATAATAAACATAAACACAAGTCGACCGTCGTCACCGGCCGTTCTTTCTCCCTACGGTGGTGGAGTGAGCAGGAAAGCCGTATGGGCTGCTGGCACCGTTTAGCCTAATTACAGCCAGCACCATGGCCTGATGGTGAGTTCACAGACCCCCTTCTGGGTGGGGGCAGCCCATGCCTGACATGGCTCAGTCAGCACAGTGCAGGCTAAAGTGCAGGCTGAATCCCAGCTCCCATCCCCTGGGCCAGAGGCCCTTGTGCAGTGCACAACCTGAAACTGCCCTTTGTGATTATTCTTAGGAAGGCTGGGTATGGCTGGGAGAGGAACTAGATTTCCCCGCAGTTCACGCTCAGAGAGAAAGCGGGCACGCACACCTACCATGAGGAAGGAATATCCAATCCATAGACTGCGCCATCCGGCCGGGCAGTGGGGGATGGACACATCCTGGCTGTGGACCGCTATGGCGACGGCCGGGGCCTCGCACACAGAGCAGCGGCTGATGTAGGGCTTGATCTCGTCCTCGGCCACCGGCATCATGGGCAGCGGGGCCGTGGTGGACAGCCAGTAGGACTTGTCGTTCCGGCTGGCATAGTAGCAGACATCCCCCGGATTGCAGTACAGGAAGGGCATGGTGCTGAACCGGGCCAGGCAGGAGCCCGCCAGCCCTGTGGGGCGACACCACGGCGGGGCGTGCTTCCCAGCGGCCCTCAGCCCCCGCCTCCCGCTAGGGCCCCACCAGGGCCCCGCCCCCAGGCCCCCAATGCGGCTCAGGTCTGCCCTGGGGACCATGCCGGGGGGTGGGGTCCCATTCCTTTTTTTTTTTTTTTTTGGAGCAGATACGCTGCCTTTTCAGCCCTGTCCTTCTAGAAGTTTTCATGCTCACCCCTGGATGGAGTGGGGTCTTCGTGACCTAGCATCTGGCCGAGGACTGTACCATTGGGCGTCTTAGAGACCCCTGAGGGGACCCAAGACTAGGGCCTGGCTTCCTGCGCCCGAGGGGTCCGAACCCCAAATACCTCCCTGCTCCTGGGTACAAAGCCTGCCTTTTCCTCGCAGCAGAGAGAATGAGCTCGCGGCACAGCCTCCCCTGCCCACATCGGCTGCCCACTGAGCGGGGAAAGGAACGTGCGGGGCGCCTGCCCCAGGCCCGCCTGGCAGCCCGGCTCCCCGCCCTGCCTCAGCCCTGCACCTGAGGCCCCAGCCCTGCACTTGAGGCCCCAGCTGTGTTTGCATTTGCCGCACTTTCTGTTCCGCTAAATGTATTTTGGAAGTGGAGCCCGTAGACAGGAGTGTGCACAGAGCATCAGGGTTGGGCTTGATGGAGTCCCCGTCCCTGTCCCCTCCCAGGCCCCCCCCACCCCCCAGACAGAGGCACCCGTGCCCCTCGCCCACGGGTCACGCGTGCTTGCTGCACTTTCTGTGCGCTTTTAAGTCCTCTGGCAACCAGGCTTACTTGGATCCGTATCTGTTCTCCTGGGGGTTCTGGGGGCCCCTGAGCCTGAGGCCGCGGCCTCTGTGGTCCTGACCTGAGCTTTAGAGGTCAAAGACCAGCTTCATCTGTTCTGGAAGCCCCAGGATGTGCATGGGCCCAGTGCCCTCGACCGCCTGCGCGAACCTGGCCGCGACTGCTGGCCTTGACCAGGCGCCGAGCCGGCGGGGCCAGCGGTACCTACCCAGGTCCTGGTTGTGCGCCTTCTCCTGGCCTTCGAAGTACAGCAGGCTGTACCCGCTCCAGAGCTTGTTCATGCCCACGGGGCACATGGGCTCCTGGTCCGTCTGACTGTGCTTCACCAGGAGGTAGCCGATGCTGACACTGCGGCCGGGCATGCCGGGCAGGCCGGGGGTCCCTGGGCGGCCCGGCGCCCCTAGAACCGGGAGAAAGCGGCCGCCTTTCAGCTACTGCCTGGGCCTCTGCTTTGCGGCTGCCGCCTGCGTTCTGCCCGCAGCCTGGCCCTCACCGGCCGTGCCCCGTGGGGGACCCGCGAGCATCCCGAGCGAGGGGCAGACAGAGCCAGTAGGAAGGGCCCAGAGGACTGCAGCCCAGCCCCCGCCCAGCCGACCAGCCTCCTCTGCCCCAAGCGCCAGGCTGAGGCACTTCGGGGACAGGCGACTCGCTGCGCACCCCCGGGTGAGGGGTCTGCCTCCTGCGGTGCCCGCCCGGGGCTCAGGTCTGAGCACCGCGGCACGTCTGCTCTGCCTCCAACAACACAGCCCTTCAAATGCTGGGCACCAGCCGTCCAGGCTGAGCTAGTTCTTTGTGCACAAACTGCCAGTGTTTCTGGCCCGCCCCGCCCTGTGCGTGCACAGCTCGTTTTAAGAAATCAGTGACAGGACTTGACGAGCCCTCCTGCCAGCGTCATTGGTCCGTCTCTCCGGCCCAGACCTTTGAGACCTTTACAAGGCCTTTTCTCAAAGAACGGGGACTGCCTCCCTGTCCGAGCCACCTGCGGGCCCATCAGCGGAAGGAAGGGGGCCCGGCCTGTCCGGGGACTCTGCTCCTGGTGTTACCCGGCGCCCCCAGCACCACGGCTGCGGAGGGGACAGCCTCTTCCTGCTCGCTCGGGGCTGGCTCACCCCTCCCGACGGACCACAGGACACTGGTCATCGGCAGACACGGAAGAACGGCCTTGCCCTTTGCCCCTTCTGTGTGTAACTCACCTTCCTGGCCGATGGGGCCCTGCTGTCCCACGGGCCCCTGGTCTCCTCGGAACCCGGGAACGGCAGACACGCCGCCTCTTCCCTGGGGCCCTGCCTTCCCGGGAGCCCCGCGGAAACCTGCACGGCCACGAAAGGAGTGTGAGCACCAGGGACGGAGCGACCGGGCTCGGCGTCACTGCTGCTCAGCAAGGGCGTTCGGGGAGGAAACGGGAGCGAGAAGCCGGCAGGAAAGGGGGCGCCTACCTGGCTCTCCAGGGGGGCCCTGGGGCCCCATCTCTCCCTGGGCCCCCGGGGGGCCTCTCTTGCCGTGTGGACCCACTGGCCCTGGCTGGACGGTGATCCTCTGGGGGATCCCTGCGATCCCCGGGGACCCCAAAGAGCCGGGGGTGCCTGGAAATGGCAGAGAAAGGCCAGGTGACACAGGGGCCTCCTGCATGGCCTGCATCCCATTGTTTCATCGTTGAAGCCAATCCTGGTGCCCCCGGAGCCACCTGCTGCCCAGAGAACCGCCTGTTGGCGAGGCCGTCAGTCACCCAGCGGCGGCGGGAGCCACGCAGGTCTCAGCGAGGCGCTTCAGAGGACGGCCTCGAGGGGTCCCCCAGTCCCGGGGGCCACCCAGCCGAGGTGCTGGCGGTGCGCGCGCCAGGGCCACTCACCTGGGAGTCCTCGGTCTCCTTTGGGCCCCTTGGGACCTGGGTCGCCCACGCTGCCAGTAGCTCCTGTGTTTCCCATAAGTCCTGGCTCCCCCCTGGGTCCTTTAAGACAAACCGGACACGGAGGACTCACACGTCTATGCGGGGGCGTCAGCCCCCCCCCACCGGTGCTGCCAGCCCCCCCCACCGGTGCCGCCAGCCCCCCCCACCGGTGCCGCCAGCCCCCCACATGGGTGCCGCCAGCCCCCCCACATGGGTGCCGCCAGCCCCGCCCACATGGGTGCCGCCAGCCCCCCCACCGGTGCCGCCAGCCCCGCCCACATGGGTGCGAGCCCTCCCTCCGTGGGCACCGTTACCTCTCTCTCCCGGGAGCCCGAACACGCCAGGCGGGCCCTGGGGCCCGGGGTCCCC